ATTTTGAAATAGATAAAATTTGAGATTGTATTCCTACTTAGACTAATTCTCTAATTTGGCCTGTAACTATTCGTTTAAGTCTGATCTGATCTAAACTAGTCTGGTAGATGTCTATTCTGTGTGTATTTTACCACTGTCTAAGCCTAGTCTGGTCAACTAGTTGATCTAATATGTTTAAGTTTGGTCTAATATAGTCTCAAACCAGTCCAATTAATATATATATATACCATACCCGTAATAATAAATTACATATTTGACACTTGTTAATTGTTATACATATATATTTCATTTCCCTAAATCACTCTGAAAATTAGAGCTTGTTTGGTAACACTGAAATTTATGAAGTTCTGGCTGAAATGGCTGGATTGACCGATTCTGTTGAATTATGAAAAAATTGTATGTAACATATATTTTATTATTAAAGTAATAAAAAATTATATGAAAAAATAGCTAAAATGACCCTCTACAGTAACTTCAGCCAATCTAGCCGGAAGAATAACTCCAACATTATGTATTTTGATTAGTACACAACTAAGCGCGCGAAATCAAAATTTACTTGTTTGCTGAAATAATTCGCTTATAAAGTTGATAAGCCGAAAAACAGGGTTACCAAACGGACTCTAAAGTTCCTATAATATAAGTACTTCGTATGAAGTTATAAACCAATAAGCTCTTAGTATTTTTGTACCTCTAAGGGTCTGTTTGCAACAACTTCTGCTTTAAAAAAAATGCTTTTTTTAATGAAATGGGAGAATTGATTAAATAAAAGTTGATAGTGTTTGAGAAAAAAGTGATTTTTAAAAGTAAAAGTTAGTAGTGTTTGGTAAAATAAGTGCTTTTTGTGTAATAGAAAAAGTAAAAGTACTTTTGACACGAAAACCGAGAAAAATAAAAGTTTGTGGTGTTTGGTAAAATAAGTGATTTTTTAAGTCAAAAGGTGAGGAGTGCTTTTTTTGAAGCATTTGCAAACCAACCCTAAATCTTGACCGCCCTAAATTTATGACTCTGCCAGAGCTATTATATGGTTATTATTTGTATAAGATGTGGAAGTTAGAGTTTTTCCAGTTGGGTAAAACACAAACCATTACTCCGTATTAAATAAAGGTGCAGTATAAAAAGTAAAAACTATGGCAAAAAACACCAAAGAGAAAAACAAAAAAAATTGAAAGAAGAAGAAAAGGGTAAGAATAATTGAATACCCAAGTGTATAAATCCTCAAGAAGACCGCAGAGTCAAGACCAGCATGACCTATAAGATCGGACTCATTCATCTTCAGAGCCTGAGGCATCCAGTTGAGGAAAGTCAGGTACGTCCTGAGATTGAGGTTGATGAATTTTCTGACGAAATTGTGACCTTCGCCGCCGGGGTCCTCCTCACTCCGCTTTTTGAGAATGTACCACTTCGGGAAGTAAACCCTGTCATTGATGGGCTGAATCCTTAACAGAGCAAAGGCAAGCAGAAAAGCTATGGCCGTCACCGTGTTTATGAACGCCGATACTCCAATGTCCGCCAATGTCGCCATCCCTCTTCAGCACGAAAATTGAACTTGTTAACCTAAATGTAGTGATTTCTCATTTCTGGATTCGTCCAATTTCTACTGCCCTCTTTCAAATTTCTGAAATAGAAGTTTCTCGAGATGCGTAAAGGGGAGTGTGGTTTGTCTGCACGTGGATGGGTTCGTCACGGGTTGCGTTTAGTGCTTTATTCGGCATATGTTCTGGAAAATTCGAGCTCCCATTGAAAGTAGCTCAGAAAAGGTGGTAACTGGTAAGACCATTAGAAGATAGAGACGAGACTCGTAATAATTATTATGACAAAATCGCTGATTAGTTGCCGTAATCACGGGATTCGTTTAGGAAACAAATCAAAACAGCTTTTAAGTTTTTACATAACGTAAAAAACTAAAAACAGATATTTTTAGGGAGAAAGACAAAAAATGACATCAAGGTTGTTAATAAATTTCAGATTAGACATTTTAAGTAGATCAAATAAACACAAAATTGTAGTTTTTGGTTCCAATTTAACCACCCTTTTAACGCCTCCTGTAAACAATTGTTGCCCATTGTTAACTCCCCTTCATTCCAAAAGCCCTGCACGCGACACCCGCACCAGCTCCTGCCCCACACCAGTCCAACACCCTGTTCCTCCCCAGCCCCTGTCCCGCCCTTGCCACCTCACTAGCTCCAGATCCAACCCCGATCTTCACCTCCCTAGCCTGAGCTCCGACCAGCATCAGGAAGGAAACCCATACGAAGGTGATGAAGAGACGACGATGAAGACGGCGGCGGCGGCGGCGGAGGGAAGTGAGAACGCGAAGAGGAAGATGAGGTAGCAGAATTGGAAGAGGAGAAGCTTAGCCCACTGGTCAGCGTGGTCGACGTGAGGGTTATCTCAGAGCTTGGAGAGAATGGGGTGGGTGAAGAGGGAATGGGCCAAAATTGCGAAGGACAGAGGGAAAATTAAAGTGAGTCTGATTAGATAGAAGGTCTTCAGAGATCTTCTGGGGATGGAGATTGACTCATTGGAAGGGTGGGTAGAAGAAAGAAAGGGATCTGGATAAGCTAATTCTGGAATTCTTGACGTTTGAAAGAACATCGTAATTCAATCGGATGAGGGAGTTGGATGGGGGAGTTAATGACAAGGAACGGTTAGCGTTAAAGGGTGGTTAAATTAGAACCGAAAACTATAGTTTTGTGTTTATTTGGTCTGCTTAAAACCTTAGTGTTTACTGTAAGCTTTGTTAAAAACCTCGGTGTCATTTTTGGTCTTTCTCCCATATTTTTATTTTTACCTCGGTAAATACTCCATACTTTTGCACTCAAAGATTTTGGAAAGGAAAATTCTTATTGTACACAAGTTGTACACAACTTGTATACAAAACCCCCCTATGTGGCCCAACCTTTGATGCCACAAATTGGACGACGATTCCAATTCTCTCTTTCTCTTGCAAGGATTTTCAGTTACATTAAATGACAATGGGGATTCCATAAAATTAGTGTCTAAGCATAACTTATAGAGGTTCCCCTCCATGCTACCAAATCCTATTACATTTGAGTTCAAGCTTATTGTCACTTTATTGTATACGAAATTAAATGTAAAACCATTAGCACTTAGTTTCGATACAGACACTAAATTACGAGTAATATTAGGTACATAAAGAGCATCACGAAGATGAAGACTGAAGCCATTCTCTAAAATTAATGAGATAGTTCCAATGGCCTCCACTTCTAATTCTTCTCCGTTGCCCACCTTAATCACTCTTTGCTTTCTTCCCAATGTCTGGTTCAATGGTTCATGTTTCAAACACACTACGGGGATTCCATTCAATCCGGACATTGGGAAGAAAGCAAAGAGTGATTAAGGTGGGCAACGGAGAAGAATTAGAAGTGGAGGCCATTGGAACTATCTCATTAATTTTAGAGAATGGCTTCAGTCTTCATCTTCGTGATGCTCTTTATGTACCTAATATTACTCGTAATTTAGTGTCTGTATCGAAACTAAGTGCTGATGGTTTTACATTTAATTTCGTATACAATAAAGTGACAATAAGCTTGAACTCAAATGTAATAGGATTTGGTAGCATGGAGGGGAACCTCTATAAGTTATGCTTAGACACTAATTTTATGGAATCCCCATTGTCATTTAATGTAACTGAAAATCCTTGCAAGAGAAAGAGAGAATTGGAATCGTCGTCCAATTTGTGGCATCAAAGGTTGGGCCACATATCACGAGATCGAATGATAAGACTCGTTTAAAAGGGGCATGACTTGATGTCAAATTGTCTGTGTACACAGACAATGTACACATTTTGTGTACATTTTGTGTACACCAAGAAGGATCCTTTTGGAAAACGAGTCAAAACACGCTCCCACAATGGCAGATCGGCCACTTAAGCTCATGTGATCCGCTTGGACTAAAATTTTCTGATCTGGTCTGATATGATATGATCTGATCTTTGTGTATTTTATAACTATATAAGTCTGATTTGATCTAATCTGATCTGAGACTCAAAACCGTCAATTTAGTTGAACTAAGTAAAAAAGCCTAACATCCATTGGAATTACGTAAGTGAATAATGACTCACCAATGCAATTCAATTTAGTTGCTAAATCGCCAACACCAAATTGTTTACATAAATACAGCTATTTCTACGAATTTAAATTTTTTTAAACATAATGACGTGTTTGACATTTAGTGTTTAGCGGACAATAGATTATGTTGGTTGGTTGTCAATAGTAGATTCAGACATCCAGTCAACGAGTTTGACTAATGGAATAAGTTGACGGGTTGACAGAAGATGTTTGGTAATTTAGCTGTTTGGTCACAATAATTAATAAAAAAACACCACATTTCAAAATGTTAACTCAAAACTCTCCTATTTGCAGTTTTTCATTTTAGCGTTTCCATCTAAAAATGCTAGGACCGAACATTTATTTATTAAACAACATTTTCCTTACTAAAAACGTTAAAAGGGATCAAATCGTGGGCTGAAATGCTATTTTCCAAACACCCCATGAAATCACCCCGTGCAACGCACGAGTGAAAATTTTAGTACTTGTAATGTAAGTATCCCGAACGTACTCCTAAATTTATCTTATTCTAGACAACATGCATTCTGTCTTCTATTTAAGTTGTTATGTTTTCTTATTCAATATGTTTTTATTATTTTGTTAAAAATTAAATGATAATACACATACTCGTATATCTTTGGCTGAAAACGCTAGAAGGGATCAAACGCTAAAAGGGATCAACACATCCTTTCTTACTAAAAACGTTAAAAGGGATCAAACCATCGGTTGAAATGCTATTTTCCAAACACCCCATGAAATCACCTCGTGCAACGCTCGGGTGAAAAATCTAGTACTTGTAATGTAGGTATCCCGAACTTACTCCTAAATTTATCTTATTCTAGACAACATGCATTCTTTCTTCTATTTAAGTTGTTATGTTTTCTTATTCAATATGTTTTTATTATTTTGTTAAAAATTAAATGATAATATACATACTCGTATCTTCTTACTATTAATCTTAACAAGAGTTCCTACAAACTTGATCATTCCTACTTTGTGAGGTGCAAATTATAAATCCATAATCCCGCATAGTACAAATGCACATACTACATATTATTTATAGCCTTGTCACATCCTTCATGATCAATTAGCAACTGCTACATACAATACAAACAAACTCTGAATAACATTTGTTTGTGACATGTATCTACGAAAATAAAGGATACCCCCACCCACCCACCCACCAGAGATTAGTATGTTTACTAGGAAGATCAATGTTCGCCGGACCGCTAGATTACCAAACTTGGAAGTTAGAAGAACTTAGATTATTTTTGTCCCTTGACTTAAATGTCATCCAATTAAACTTTTTAGAATGGGAGCAAAACTGGATTCAGATATTTATCTTGATATTTCTTCAAATCAGCCTCACCATTTGACCTGTCCTTAGCCATTGCTTCCTGAAAAATTGTGAGGAATAACATAGATGAGATCTTGAAGTAGAGGTGATCATCGTTAACATACCTGGATCGCAGTATCACAAAATTGTAGTGATTTAATATATTATATCGTAGCGTAGTAGTAGGAAATACTTCAAGACACCCCATTGGTGAAAAAGAAGATCAATCATAAAAATGATCTCAAGTTAGGTTATAGATGTCTAACAAACAATCAGATCATAAATGACTTTGCATCTGGTATTATATCAAAATATGGAATAAAAGGTCAGCACTAGAGGTAAAGTAGTACAATACGGAGTATTTTCTATACTAGTTTAAAAGTTTTTATTATGAAAATGTGAAAAAGTACCTCAACGCGCAACTTATGAGTCGACAAAGGTCTAATAATATTACTAGAAATATTGAAAATCTTCTTGATTGCCAAGTACATAAGTTCTTACCTTGAGAGGATATTTTTTGAACGCGGGTTCAAATCGGCTCTTACAATATTTGTGAAACGCGAAGGTGAAAAAAGGCAACAAAAGAAGCAAAGGCGTTGACTTAGCAGCCTTTTTTGTACTAAGTAAACCCATCAAAAGAAGTTGAGATATGATTAAGCTTGCTACTATCCGGCCATGGACATCCGGCCAGAATGCAGCAGCACTTTCATATTCCTGATGATATACATTGATAACCTACACAATAATAATACAACCAATATTACTTCCGAATGGGTAATTGCATATAAAGATCTTAGTCACATCATAAAGGATTCATTAACGGATTGGATGAATTAATCTTATATACTACCACCGTCCCAAATTAATAGTGACAAAACTCTTAGGCTCATTATTGATTGAGAAATGGAACACAGTACCTAAACAATCTTCACCTTTTACTCTAGTAGTTTAAAAGAAGCAATGTTGGAATGATAAAGTTGTAGATTCAAGTAAAAATAAGATGTAAAAGTATGAATGGTATGCACGATCATTTGTCAAAATAGGAAATGTAACAAAATTTTTGGGATAACCAAAATGGAAATACGTAACTATTATTTTGAAACGGAGTGAGTATGTATTACAAGTAGTTTATTATTTTCAATGAATTGGTTTAGGAACAAATACTTTAACAAATGAATAATACCTGATGACGGAATACAAAGTAGGCCAAGATGAAGAAGACAATGATGAAAGGAAGAAGGATTGGAGTAACCACCGCATATACACTACCGAGAAGAAAGTATAGTTGAAGAGTAGAGAGGGTCTTGTGAAATTCTACACCCCCAGGGTACATTGCATTATCTCTGTCCCGTTTGGTTTTGGCGAACATGTTCTTGAGATGATACATGACTAAGGCTTTCAGCCTAAGAATCTCAGCAGCAACGACCGCCCACCCATCCACCATTATGTATGTAATAAAGAAGGTAGCTTTCATAGGTATGGATACTCCAACATTTCTTGGTATTCTGCATTCTCAAATAATAGAAATGTAAGTGATCAAAGGTATAACACATTGGAAATTATAATTTAAGATTGTAATTGTATGATAAAAGTTATCCATTTGATGTAATCATGTTTGGTATATCAACTATTTTGACTCTGAATTTGTAATTAATGCTAAAAGCTACAAACATTCTATTGAAAACAACTCATATTAGCTTATCAAATAAATACTTTTTTCCCCAAAACAACTCATGTCTTAAAAGGTGATGTACCAAATATATAAGACAACTACCAGTAGTACTAGACACTTTTTAAGAAATTGACTTATGTAAGAAACACATGCACTAAATAGGAAAGGTAAAAACTTATGGAAAACTAACTCTAGTTGTGGGCTTAATAATTAGAACTGCCGAACGAAAAGCGGACTCATCTTGATCATCCGTTGAATTGATCTAAGGGTTGGAATACACCACTGGCACTTTGGTAATTAATAAAATCAAACTTTTCCGGATGCAACACTTTGAACATTATTATGCAATTGTTTATTTCATCACAGAATAATATGCAACATTTTAAACATCAACATGTAATACAAATAGCATAAAGATGCATCGTACAAAATTTTAATTTGCACTATAAGCAAAATTTGTGCTAGACTCGCCCCCTATATATGTGTGTATATATATAATGGGTGACCTTATGGACCATTTTTCGATTCAAATTTAGGATTACATATTTAGATCACACTTCATAGAACGAAAAGTACGTGGACTCCGACACCAGCGGTGGAAGATTTGTGCGATTTTGACACTAACCAAGATATCTTCAATAAGGCATATATAATCGGTCACGAGAAATAATTATTTTTATATGGATCAAAACATGTAAATCAAAATTTACAGAAAGGAGAATCAACATTCACACTTATGATGCCCATACACTCAAGCTCACTCGGAGCATTGAGGTTTTTAATTTCAGCGTAGACATATAGAGTAAAGGCGCGCATTTCATATGATACATCTATGTACTATCGATTTGATCTCTATCTTTTTCTTTTATTCTCCTTTTCTTTATCGCTTTAATTTTATACTACCTTGAGGTAGTATAAAATTATTTTCAAAACTTTGACCAACTATATATTTTGATCGTAAATGATTTATTATGTAAAAAATATATAAAAACATTCTTTGTTAAAAATACTTTCATAAAAACACAAAATTTATAGATTCCATTATATTATACTTATTAAAATCACAGTTCAATTTTTTTGAAATGTCAAAGTTTTTTTGAACGGAGGTAGTACTTTCTTGTCCTTAATTGAAATACTTCATACTCCCCCCGTTCTCTAATACATGTCCCTCTTTCCATTTCGGGATGTTCTCCAATACATGTCTCTCTTTTCATTTTTAGAAAGTTTTTTCAATAAATATACATATATACCCTCATTCTCTTTCTTACTTTTTCATTCTCTTTCATACTTTTTCCTTTCCACACAACTCACTACACCTTTTATTTTACCCTTATTAATTCCTTCTTAAAACTTGTGCCAAAGTCTATACTCTTATCTATTAGAGAACGGAGGGAGTATATCCTTTGCAATATACATGGCACTCCCTCCGATTCAAAAACAAGATCCACATTTGATTTCACACATATTAAGAAAAGAAATTTGATTTTACTGTGGAGTGCACTGTTTGGCACTTTTTGACACCGTTTAATACTGTTTTGATGTAGATAATTTGCCAAATAAGAAAATATTTGAAAGTGGATATTAATTTTGGAACTGTCCGAAGAGGAAAGGTGAAACTTGTTTTTGAATCGGAAGGAGTATATATATTATGGTTATAAGTACATTGATGCCTTTTCCATAAAAAAAGTAGATTGATGCAATAGCCAATAGATAGGTTGAAAATAATGCATACTTACTGAGAAGCAGACTGGCTAAGAAAAGCATGGAGTTGTTGGAAAGCTGTGCCTAGCACAATATTTCCTAAAAATACATTGATTAAAATGAAATAATAGTACTTCTCTGCTGCTTCCCTTTCAATCGCTGATAACGCAACGTGTCCCTCAATTTTAGACATGACCAGAAGAATGTCTGGTAGAATTAACATGAAGATTTTAAGTGCTACACCAGGAACGAAACCTTGTAGGAATGACTTGATCACCTTCCTGCATGAATTAGTAACCCGCACGCGAAACACAAGTGAAATCAAATATAGAGTTACGTTTTTGTCATTTCTGGTCCCATGACTATTGAAATCAAATATATTAGAAACTTTTGATACTCGAGTTTCAGTTTTTTCATTTTGAATGCTCGACTTTTGTGCGAAAGACACTTTTAGTCCTCAATTTCAAAATTTCTCTCATTTAGTCCCCTCAGTATTACCAAATTGACACTTTTAGTCGTTCCATTATTATTTTGATACAATAAGTGGAGGATTAAAATTTCACTATTATAATAGGTGAAAGACCAAAAATATTACTTTAATGAAAGTCGAAAGACTAAATGTAAAATTTTCAAAGGCAAGTACCAAAAGTAGTGTCTTTCACACAATAGTCATTGCACTAAAAATGAAAAAATTCAAAGTCAAGTATAAAAAATGTTAATGACATAATAATCAGAGGACTAAAAGGGACAAAAACTCATCAAATGTATTATTATGCGCTCTGTGCTCTCTTTTCAAATACTTGAGAGAATGAGTAAATATAACCTGCCGGTTCAATCATAAATAAAAAGTTTGAACTCATAAATAAAAAGTTGCTAAATCAAGTCTTTAGTTTGAATCCCAACCGACCACTAGAAATCAAAATCAAATAATTACAGGCCCATTGGGAAAATTATGAAATATGAGTAGAAACAATGTGTGTCTTTTCCCTAAGTATGAATACACACTACCATCACCCTAAAAATGTAACATTATCATGCCCTAAATATATGTGTCCATATACATTGTCACATTTGCAACATTTTCCAAATGTGAGGAATTACTCTTATTTAGAGAATAATAATAATGTCCCTATTTTGGAATTACAATATATAGTTACTCCTATTTTAGATAGTTTCTTTAAATAAAACCTTCCGAGTTCAAGGCCGGGTTGAAATTAGAAATAAAAGCTTTTCAAGAATATAGTTCAAATCTTAGATGACCACTTAAAATTAAATAAAGACACCGCAGCTTTCTTCCACGTATGTCCCTTATAATTTTGTCATTTTTCTTGTATAATGTAATTTTCCCATTTGTGTCATTGTTCCAAAAACTTTGTCATACCTCATTAACTAATTGTAATGTAGTTCATGTTATTTCTCTTCCTTGTACCAAAACCTCAACTACACATTTTGTGCTTTATTATTTCCTCCATTCTCTTTAATTAGTTGCAACGGTTCACTTTTGATGTTTGTCAATGCACAAGTTTGACCACTACTACACACTTCATTCTCTATTGGTAAAAAATTAAAAAGATTCACATTTTGAAAATTTACTATGAAAGGAATTTAACAATATTGTACAAAAAGTTTGAGACATTTATAAAAAGGAAAAAAGAGGAAAAGAGAGAAGTAAATATGTACTAGTACAACTTAATTATTTACTTACCATTCAATTAATGGCCTCAAGAAAGGTGCAGCCTTTTCTAAACCTTCCAAGTTTGCGAGAGATTGAACAAACGCAATGGGTATCATGTAAAAGGAGATCAAAGCAAACAATAGTATGGCGATGAAGATTCTGCGGAAGGTTATAGAAAGAGGGGAGATTGAGAGGTTCTTCCATTCTATATCTCGAGGTTCAGGGGCTCGACTTGTGAGCCAGAGAAGAGGGTTCTGGTCTATTTGTGTCTGGGCACAAACAGCAGCCCCCCATCGCGTTTTGAATGTCACAAATGCAGTTGCATGCATGTACTCTGGACCCTCCAGAATCTTTTCACGCTTCTTCTTCAACTAACACCATGCAGGTCAACCAAATGTTATTTATAATTAATTACCTCAAACACATAATAATACTCGTGAAAAGAAAGTATTATAAACGGCCTAAAGACAAATGCGGTAGCCATACGTCTCTACCTTCTAGCTTATGTACGGAGTATTATTTAAGGAAAATGCTTTAGGTACACGTTTGGTGTACACATGTCTGTCCTTCACAGACAAATTGTCTGTCACAAACATGTGTACACCAAACGTGTACACAAAACGTGTACCTCTAGCAAGACCCATTATTTAAAAGTCTCTAGAAACTTCTAGTTGTATTTTGACATGACAATTTTTAAGAGCTTCTATCAAGCTGAAAAATCTTTTTGACACGTTAAACTGAATAGTATCTAAAAAAGTTTGTAGCTTTTAACATTAATTAGTCAGGTCTGATTTGGGACAGAAAACCATCCAACAAAACATCCTAAAAGTTCAAATTTATGAAAAGAGACTTTAAATAAAGTGTCTTTGTCACAATTGCTAAAAGACTGAAAGTATGGATGTCAATTTTAATTCAGTAGGTGGATCGATACTTGCACCGATAATTCAGTATGGATGTCATATCAGACTTGCAGTTTTATATATACCCACTCCGTTACCTGTCCTATTATCCGATTTCTTACCTACCATTTTATTTTTAATTACATTTTTTATTCCATTTCTTCTCATTTGTTCCGCGTGTGTGTCGAAAAAGGATGAGATTCCCCCTTCTAATGATGTAAATATGAATTTCATCACTACATTGAAAGCAATATCTCATTTGGGAATCATCTCTTTGGGAATCATCAATGAATATCACATTTTGTTATTAAAAAATAGCTTAAGTACTATACTCTGTTTCTTTTTTTATTATAACATGGAAAATTGTTGTCTACTTTGAATATATTTTATTTATTAATAGATGAAAATTATTATTTTTGAAAAATATTGTTGAATCCGTCTCATTACAACTGTTCATAATCTGATTTATAATTTATTTTTTGCTCATTGACAATTAAATATAATAATGAGAAAAGTTGTGCGTTTATAAGCTTAAAATGAAAATGTTGAAACAAAAGAACAACATTTTTTTGTGGGCTTAAATTGATTAGTTGTTGGTGTACGGTCGATCAATGACTCAAACGGTTACCTTGTTTGAACCCATTATATGTTTTTTTTTTACCAAAACCCATTACCTGTTAGTCTTTGCATAATGGGATTATAAGAAGTAATCGAGAAGTAAGTTGGGAATGGGAGTAACTACTTTTATACATCCAATTCCCATTTTACCCTTTAGTAACATTAGTGGACAAACTACTCATGCCTTTAATTTCCTTAATGAAAAATCGAGATTAAACATAAAAATGGAAAAAGTAGATGCACTACTTACTTTTTTGTCCAGCTTTTCGGTTTGATCTTGATAGTACTCGAGGTAAGTTTGTTGTTTACCAAAAAGTCCAAGAAAGCCTGACTGAAAAATCGAGGAACATTATTAGAAATGTGTACTACAAAAAACACGGGTTTGATAGAATTTTTTGTAGGGATTAGTTCAAATTTATAGAGAATTTGACAGGGATATGTCAAATATGTGTCAAAAATACTTTTAGAACGAATTATGTGGCACGAAATCGTCAATCAATCCGTAATACAATATGGAGTATTGTTTTAGGGAAAAATTGATAGTAATAATCTCAACTATTGACGATCCACTCATAATAATTCCAACTATTGATTATTTCAGAATAATCCCAACTTTAGATATCTTGCGCCAATAATGATCCGACGTGACTGGCTATAAATAAATTTTTATAGTTTCTAAAGTGGATGAGAAGAGATATAACAAGTGATCCCTATAAATAATCTTAACTTTTAATTTTTACGCTTAATTTCTATTTGAAATTCACTTGTTATCTGGTCATGGAGCATTATTGGCGGACGGTCTATATAGTTGGGATTATATAAAAATAATCAATAGTTGAAATTATTCTTAGCAGATCAGGAATAATTGAGATTATTATTTTCAAATTTGCCTAGTTTTTAGTGGCGGGTGAAGAAATATGGATTATATTTTAAACAAGAAACATACCCTCCTGGATAACGTGTCATTACCCTTCTTGCTGTAGCGATCCATCATATTCCCAAACGAGTGTCGTTTCTTAACAAGCTTGACAATGCTCTTCACGTCATAAACAACCTAATTGGGAATTTCTTATGATTTTAATAAAATTAAATTATTCATATTTTGAAAATAAATCAGGAGTAATGACTCTTATTAGTGTGTTTTATCTACGAGTATATTATTCTCATATTTGGAGCAATTCCCTAAAACAATTATGGAGAAACTATTTGGATGATAAAAGAAAAAAGAAATAGCTTTAAATATAAGTACAAATTTCAAAATAAAATTGCAATGTTTTTATTTTCTATAGAGTAAATACTGTTAACTTTCGAAAATATTACTTCATCCCTATTTAAAAGTTTGTTACACTTTCTTATTTGGAATGTTTTTAAAAGTTTGCTGCAATTTCCCTTTTTGGTAAGTGTTTCCTTTAAAAATATCCCCTTCGTCCCTTAATAAATTAAATATCCCACTTTCTTTTTTGGTTCGTCCCTAAAAGAAGTCTTGTTTCCTTATTTGATAAACAAAACAGTGTCAAGCAGTGCCAAATATTACCAACACAATGTCAAACAATGTCATTTTCTTAAATTGTGCGTAAAATAAATTGACACTTTTAAATAGGAATGGAGGGAGTACATAATTATCATTCTTTATTTCTTTTTTACTTTTTCACCTTCTCTGATCTCCTACTTTTCTACAATAATCATTATCCATTTGTCCTATTATTTTTCTTTAAATAATGTGTCAAGATCTAATGTAGTGATCTTTTAAATAGGGATGATAGGGATGGATAGTGTCAAAATAAATTCTTTAGAAGAAAGGGGTAGTGTCCTTCCTTTGTTTGATACTTACGTGGTGGCAAAGATATTCGTGCGGGTAATTCTCCTTAAAATAGTTTCCCACTGTTTTAGATACCGACTTATCAGAGCTATCGCGTGGTATATTTCGTACAAGCACCTGAAGAAACAATTACACAACCTGACGTCATGAAAAAGAAAGATTATTGTCCATTAATTACAAATTTACAATTACAACTTGTTTAAAGTTCACTTTCTTAAAAAAACACTTAACTAAAAGTTAAGTGTAGGAGTATAATTTCTAATAAATGAGTAAAAATGTTTGAGAATTTCAAAACAAGATCGTTTATTTTTTCTTTAAATATATAGGAGTACATTACTACGTTGTAGGACTGTAGGAGTATCATTTTGAAATTTAATTGCTAGTTTTTTTTAAGGAGGGACTCTTTACTCTTTAGTTTATACTTTGTACTTAAAATAGAAATTAACTTAAAACATACAAAAAGTTTTAAAATCAAGACTATGTAAGTTTTATTCCGCAATTATGATTTATTTAGTCCTATTAGAAAAATAAGTTGTATAAAACTTCCCAAAATAGGAGTGAATGAGTCATATTTTATAAATAAAAAATTGGTAGTCTGAGAAAATTTCTTAAATAAAACTAAAACATAGACAAAGTGCATAACAGGATCGCATTTGTTTTCTTCCTAAAATAGGACTCATTCACTCCTAAAGTGAAAAGGTTTTATACTTTTAATAGATCCAATAAGTCTTATTTAAGGAATTATAAACTTATAGTCCTATTAGTGCACTTTGATTCACTTTTAGTCCTATTTAGAACAATTATTATAGTCATATTTGTGAATTGTATAATTATTTTAGTCATATTTAAAGATTTATCTATACTTAAAAAGTATTTCCGATCGTTCGGAAAACAAGGAATATAGCCCTTATCAATAAGAGTTACTTCTTTTATACACACACACACACACACACACATATATATATATATATATATATATATATATATATATATATATATATATATATGCCTAATAGGGTTAATTAATCTCATTTTAACGTATCTACTTATGTCATCTACTTAATTACTGTCATGTTTTGACATTACTAGACTTTAAACATGTGAGTATTTTTCAAACTTGACAGTAAATTACTCTTGATTTGTGAATAAAAACATAACAATCCTATTTTGAAATTTTCAAACTTTTTTACTTCCGCTTCGAAGTTTTTCCTAATTAGATTATTGTAGTCTTTTGAGAAATTTAAAATGATCATTAAAATAACTAATGGTCCTGATTAAAAAACGCGGTCCTATTCTTGAAAGCTAAGTTCGTTTACACAGTACTTTCTTAAAAAAAAATTACTAGTGATTCGGATTTGCAAAATTATTACTCCGTAATATATATGGGTGAGTTCAAGTAAAAATTAGTTTTTTCATGAAAAGTGAAAACAAATTATAACCTTTAATCACTTGTAAATAGATGAATGAGATAAATTTTAATCACAAGGCATTGAGTCAGATAATGTGCAAATGTTTAATGTACAAAGTTGATATTACATAAATAAAAGTGCTGAGTGTTAAAAAAGATTGCCAATTTTTTTAACTTGTGCACATTTTATGATGTATTGTTATGTACTTTTGTGCTTTACATGTACACTTTTTGAATATTCTGATACACTTTTCAAATACGGAGTAATATTTTTATTGAAAGTTCTTCATAATTACCAAAATGCCACCACATTTTTCACTTAAAGTTTGATCTCTTCCATCCATTTTTTCATATCAATGGCCCAAATTTGTTCTTATTCTTCACCTAGGAAGCACGTTTTATTTGAACCAAACTATGTGTGTATAAAATAGAGATCAAATACATACCTTCCTTAATTGATAAACTACAAATTGACATTGGTCATCCGACGAGTTGATCTAAAGGGTATTAAGACATGGTGGGTTTTTTGTAATAAAAGCCAACATTTTTAGGTTGCAACTCTTTGAACGTTAATATGCAACGACTATTTTATGGCTGAATAATATGCAACACTTTGAACTTGAATATGCAATACAAATAACGTAAAGATGGCATCGTGCAAACGTTTGAGAAAATTGTTTAAACTAAGAGGGTATTTGGAAAACGGCGTTTCATCAAAAATGGCGGTGTGACTCTTTTTAGCGTTTTCAGTAAATGAAAACGTTAGTTGGTGAATAGTTGTTCGGCCCAAGCGTTTTTGATGAAACGCCGTTTTGGGTCAACGTTTTGAAGTATGACGTTTTGTACTATTTGTTATGGCCAAACAGCTAAACTACCCAACATCTTTTGACAACTCGTCAACTTCACTGACTAAATCCGCTAGCTATTGACAACCCGTTAAGATAAACAGCTATCCGCTAACCGCTAAATGTCAAATACGCCGTAAGACTAAAACATAGTCTTTTTCAAAAAATAAAATCATATGTTTGATCTTTCTTTAGGATTAATCATTTCCTTTCTACCTCTAATTAAAAAATTAACTTAATTAATTGTCTTCTAATTCTCTGACATAGTCAAAGGCAGTCAGTTGAAGACAGCAACTCGACAGTTGCAAATTTCGAGGATGGCGGCGGAAATCTGGCAGTTTGGTGGAGGAAATCTAGGAGAAAATTCAGGTGGCGGCGGTCAGGCGGCGATCAAGCAACCTAGGGCAGTAGTGTTCCAGCCCTATGAGGCTCGTTTGGTCCAATCAAAATTAAAATTTTATATGTGTGACATTTTAAAGTGACAGCTTTGACAGATCCTATTTTTAGTAAATCTTCCATTTATTTTTAGAGTCCCGCTTCGGGTACACGCTGAGTTACACGCCGGTTAAATTGTCCGTGCACTGACAATTTGATCGGCTACACAGACAATTTGACGGACATTTTATGAAGAAAATCGATTTTCACACAGACAATATATAAAGAATTGTCTGTATCACAGACATTTTAGACCGAATTTTTCATAAAGTGTCTGTAATACAGACAATTTTTTTATTCTTGTCTGTGTGAAAATATGTTTTCTTCATAAATCGCCGAACAAATTGTTTGTGTAGCCGGTCAAATTGTCTGTACACAGATAATTTGACCGGCGTGTAAAATTTGGCGTGTACAAAAGAATTTCCCTTATTTTTAGAGCCCGTTTGGAGACCCCTTTTTTCGGCTTATCATGCTTATCAGCCAGCTTTTTCACCAAACACGTAATTTTTACTTTCGCGTGCTGAATTGTGTAATAAGCAGAAAAAGTAAGGTTGGAGTTACTTTTCTGGCTGTATTGGCTGAAGTTACTGTAGATGACCATTTTAGCTATTTTTACATGTAATTTTTTCTTTATTGTATTAATAAAATATATTTTTAAAATATTTTTTTCTAGAATCAGCAGAATCAGCCAAAACAGCCACTTCAGCCAAAACTTCATAAATTTCAGCAGAAACAGCCAAAACAGCCGATTTTCGTGCTACCAAACGGGCTCTTAACTTACAGTGAACTGTTCAGGGTGATTAGTGAGGCGGCCATTAGCTTCTTCAATATCCCCGTCTCGTGAAGCCAAAAATTTTGATCTCATTGATGTCACTGTTTCATATTCTTTGTATAGCAAAAGGCAGGTCCAAAATGTGAACAAATATTCCATTCCTATGTGCACAAAAAACCTGAGCCATCCAAAACAGCCTCTTTTAGTGTTTGGCTTAATTATATGCATACAAATCTAATTATGAGAATTACCTACTCCAAAAAGAAGGTAGAAATATGTCAAAGATGAAAACAAATTAAAAGTATTAATTTTGAAAAGATGAAAACAATGAATTTTGAATCAATTAAGAAACAAAGATTTAATATAGTTAACAAAATGTGATAAATAATAATCAAGTAATATATAGTTAAATAAATCTTATTTTTTAATTTAAAAGTATTGATATTTTTTTTGTTTTTTCCAATATTATAACCAAATAAAACTTATAATACAACGTATGAATTTTAAATTCTCTCCTGCCTACTTCAACATTTGGATCTGACTATTTACATAAATGGACATATTGGAATACTAATGACAAAATGCAATTCATCCAATACAAAAATCTGAGCGGAAAAATGCAGATTCAATGGGAGCAAAATGCAAGAACCTAGCTAATAAATCAAATTGAAAAAATAAAAAAGTCAAACTGTAAAAAAGACTTACTTTGTAGACCTGGGGCTGACATTGGATATGGAGAAATTGTCAATCTCACTAACCACCAGATCCTTGCTGAGGAAAGATAATGTTACATCTGATGCATTGACTGGAACAAGAAACAATATAACTACAATAGTAGTCGGCCCGAATATCTTTAAACTGTCAAAGGCACAAGAAAGATCTATCATATCATATTATATTTACTTTTTAAACTGGGAATATATATATATATAATTGGATTTTTCAAAAATATTAAAATAAAAATTATTTACTAAATTATGTCTAAAGTTATTACTCCCTCCGTCCCGAAAACAACTTCCCACTTTCCTTAAATGGATGTCCCAAAATTAACTTCACACTTCAATACTTTCCTTATTTGGCAAATTATCTACATCAAAAAAGTGATAAACAATGCCAAACAGTGTTTAAACAGTGCCAAACAGTGTTTAAACAGTGCAAAACAGTGCATTCTACAGTAAAGTCAAATTTATTTCCTAAAAGTGTGTGAAAGTCCAACCGGGAAGTTGTTTTCGGGACGGAGGGAGTATGAGAATAACGTAATAGTCACTTAGGTATAAAAGTTGAACATAAGTAATTATGACTAAAATTACTACTATGATAACTACACTTAAGAAGTCACATTTTTAAATAGTTTTCAATTGGTTATGCAGTAATATATAGATTCTTCTTCATATGTAAGTATATCAAAATTAATTTGTTGTGCAACATGCAACATCAATGGTAATTTAATTATCAGCGTATGAGCCACAATATTTATTTGTAAATTCCTTTCATCTAATGGCATTTTCCTGGTTAAAATCATTATATAATGACTTAAGTTTATCTGTTCTAGACATTTTCCGCGTTAAAAATTAACATTCTATGAGGACTTCACACCGATTTATATATGATGACTCCAAATTTGGAGAATAATGTAAAACATAATACCTACTTGCTAGCTAACACCGATAAGTTTTTGTTAGGCAGGATTGGGCTTTATTTATATTATTATTACTATTTATTGTAATTAGTTAGTAAATGGGCTGCGGCCATATGATTAGAATAGGGCTGTTCATTGTTGTATATATATACGGAGTATTGTATCAATGAAAAAGACAGGATTTCATTTTGCTCTAATAACCAAAACTTATTATGGTATCAGAGCCAAATCGATCTATGGTGTGGGACCCCTTATGAAAAATGACGACACGATAAAAAAAAATTGACGAACCAATGAAAAATGAATGACGACACGATCCAGACGAAGTGTCTGGTCGTGAGGAGGGGTGTTAAATGTCCCACACCGGAAAATTGAGAAGCACTAGAGTGCTATATTAAGCTTCGGGCTACTCCTCCTAACAGGGGTTGACCTTTTAGGATGGAACCCCGGATCTTAACATGGTATCAGAGCTTCGGATCACCTGCCTCCACATTCACCTCCAGTAAGTTCTGAGGCTCCTATCACGGCAACCGAACCATTGCTTGGCCGTGGTCAGAGAGCTAAGCGCACGTCGGTACTACTCCGTGATTTTGTGACTCACGTTCGGACACAACACCCATCCCCGTCTTTCTCTGCTTCTTCGGGTAACTCAGGTATGTCTTATCCTATAGCGCATTATGTGAATTGTGATAAATTTTCTTCTCGTCATCGGGTGTTTCTTGGAGCTATTCTTGCAGGTCTGGAACCGAGATCTTTTAAAGAAGCCATGACTGATAAAGGATGGCGGAAAGCCATGCAAAGTGAAATACGTGCTCTTGAAGACAATCAGACTTGGATTCTAGAACCTTTACCTGCAGGTAAAAAGGCCCTTGGATGTAAATGGGTATATAAAATTAAGTATCATTCTGATGGTACGGTGGAGCGCCTCAAGGCACGTTTGGTAGTCTTTGGCAATCATCAGGAGGAGGGCATAGATTATACTGAGACATTTGCTCCCGTAGCTAAAATGGTTACGGTTAGGGCATTTTTAGCAGTAGCGGCAGCTAAAAATTGGGAACTTCACCAGATGGACGTACACAATGCGTTCCTTCACGGGGATTTAGACGAGGAAGTCTACATGAAGCTTCCTCCAGGTTTTCATCCTGCTCAGCCCGATGTTGTGTGTCGGTTGAAGAAATCTTTATATGGGCTACGACAGGCTCCCCGATGTTGGTTTGCCAAATTAGCTGCTTCTTTGCGTCATTATGGTTTTTCTCAGTCATATTCGGATTATTCTTTATTTATTTTCCGACGTGGAGATATATTTTTGAATGTGCTAATTTATGTAGACGATCTGATCATTGCTGGGAATGACTCCGCCGCTTTGACAGCATTTAAACAATATTTGAGCACGTGCTTTCATATGAAAGACTTGGGCACACTCAAATACTTCTTAGGCATTGAGGTGGCACGCAATTCTGAAGGTATATTTTTATGTCAACGGAAGTATGCCCTAGATATTATTTCCGAGACTGGCATGCTAGGTGCAAAACCTGCTGGGTTTCCCATTGAACAAAATCACACCTTGGCTCTAGCTACCGGACCGCCCTTCGCCGATCCTGAATCCTATCGACGTCTGGTTGGTCGATTGATTTATTTATCTTTCACGCGTCCTGACCTGGCTTATGCAGTGCACATTCTTTCTCAGTTCATGCAAACTCCCCGTCAACCACACTGGGATGCCGCGCTTCGTGTTGTCCGCTACTTGAAGGGTACCCCGGGTCAAGGTATTCTTTTGAACTCTTCTTGCGACATGACTTTGTCAGGGTGGTGTGACTCTGACTGGGCTAGTTGTCCTCTCTCCCGTCGTTCTCTTACTGGTTGGGTTGTGTTTCTTGGTAATTCCCCGATCTCTTGGAAAACCAAGAAACAACATACTGTGTCCCGGTCATCGGCCGAGGCAGAGTATCGTTCCATGGCAGCTCTTACCGCTGAATTAAAATGGCTTAAAAGTCTTCTACTCAGTCTCGGCGTAGCGCATTCTCGACCCATCTCCTTGTTCTGTGACAGCAAATCCGCGCTTCATATTGCCCATAATCCTGTGTTTCACGAGCGTACAAAGCACATCGAAGTAGATTGTCATTACATTCGTGACGCAATCCAAGAAGGACTTATTGCTGCGCACCATGTTTCGACTAATGAGCAACTAGCTGATATTTTTACGAAAGCCTTGGGAAAGCGGCAGTTTCTTTATCTCCTTCGCAAGTTGGGCATTTATGATCCGCATGCTCCAACTTGAGTGGGGGTGTTAGGCAGGATTGGGCTTTATTTATATTATTATTACTATTTATTGTAATTAGTTAGTAAATGGGCTGCGGCCATATGATTAGAATAGGGCTGTTCATTGTTGTATATATATACGGAGTATTGTATCAATGAAAAAGACAGGATTTCATTTTGCTCTAATAACCAAAACTTATTAGTTTTTATAATAAGAAAACAGCATAATAGAAATTTTATTATATTGAATAATAAGGTTCATTTTAACGAAATTTTATTCGGAATTTTAGCTTCAACCCTAGAGCCCTAGGGATTGGGATCCTCTACCCGACTAGGAGGGTGCCTTGCACATCAGATGGGAGGGGAGCGGCCAACACGGCCTCAAGATCGGCGAAAAAGTAGAGCCCAAGATCTCCAACTGTTGAATTGTGGATCGGACGAACGGGAGGAAGCAAGACACTCTACCTTACTCTAAAGTAAGGTAGAGGCTCCGGATCCAGAGCCCTAGAGGCCTAGATAGAGGTGTGTGGCGATCTTCCTTCCGAATTAATTATCAACGACGAAGGATGAAGAGGACATGTTCTGGGTTATGTACGTAGGATTCCGGCTTATAGATTCTTGGTAGAGGTATGATCCAATTGGATTATTCTTCTCTCTGGTTGTGTTGATTCTGTTATATGGCGGTTCTTTTCCGGCCAATGGTGCTCCGGGGTGGTTTGTCTCTCTCAATGTGGGGAGTTTTGTTGGTGTCTCGGCTAGCTTCGCCTGGTCAGGGGCTTCTGTCTGCTTTCTTTTAGAGTGTGTTGACATTGATAGAGTTCGTCCTCCTCTAGAACCACCACCATGTCATGAAGAGTTTTGTAGAAAGGCCTTATTTCAATTTTATTTTTCCATTCGTAGTACTTGTTTTATTTTACTTTTAGTTGGTTTTGATTCGGAAATTTGGACTTCTAGTGTACGTTTGATAGATAGTATTTCAGTCCCGGTTGTTTTAGGCTTTAAATTGCCCGTTTCGTGTTTAGCGAATCAAGTTGCTTTGTCTATTCTAAGTCTATTCCCAGGGCTCACAATCGGATCTATCATAACTGTCTGGATGTTATCTTGTATCTTTCTCGATTTTCATATAAAAGCCGATCCTTTTTATTAAAAAAAAAACGAAATTTTATTCAATTTTTTTTATCGTTGAAATTTTATTCAATTGAAGCACCCATGTTTTGTAGTATTACCGAATTAATTAAAAGTGTTGTCAATTAGATCAGATGAGATCAAATAAGACTAAACTAGACCTAAATAAATCACATCAAACTTAAGAAAGTCAATTTAATGGTCCTATTGGGGTTTACAAGGCTTGACCGTTGATAAAGTAAACGAATCCATGTCTGCACTCCAATTATTCATTTATTTGTAGCAAATAAAATTTACATATTCAGAAACTACATTAAAAGTTTTATAAAGTCGGAAACACCTGAATCAAATTTGATAAAAATGATATAAAAAGTAAGTGATTAATTAAGAATGATTTGTGTTGATCAAGTGAATATGAACTAGGACCATCAAATTGGACGGAGATAGTAACTTTCGCTTTACTGGTATAGTCAATATTAGATTTAAATAAACATGTCAAATTAGAATTAAATAGACCACACAAGATCAAACGAGGCCGGTAGATAGTAGATACATACCCAAGGATATAAATCCTCAAGAAGACTGTAGAGTCAAGGCCTGCATGCTTGATGAGTTTAGACTCTTTCATCTTAAGAGCCTGAGGCATCCAGTTGAGGAAAGTCAGGTAAGTCATGGGGTTAAAGCTTACGAATTTGCCAACAGAGTATGCTTTTTCATTGGCATTTTTAGGCTTTCTTTCCCCTATAATGTACCATTTGGGTAAGTAAACTCTCTTATTCATGGGCTGAATCCGGAGGAAAGCGAAGGCCAGCAAGAAGGCAATGGCGCCCCCTAAGTTTACCAATGCTGATACCCCGATATCCGCCAATGTCGCCATCCCGAACGCTTTAACGACACCGTTTCGTGCACATTCAAAGTTGTTTATATATTTGTAAATTACCGGAAGATCGAAGAAGACGAAGAAGACAAAGAAGAGGACAGAGGAGATGTATATTTCTGCATATATATGATGTTTTGGATATATATTCTATAGCTCCGATCCCACTGTAAGTTTGTGTGAGCGCTTGCCTTATGATCATTAATAACAATAATAATAACGCGCTCTAATCTTTTGACTAAGATGGCCTAATTATGCATTCTTTTTACCATTTGTCAAAGACAAACAAAAGCAACTTTTTACATTTTCAAAAAAGAAAAAGTGGTCTTTAGGACTCATCCAAGTGTTTAGCTAAAGGAGTAAATGAGTTTTACTTTGATGACAATCTGGTTCTTGTAGAGGGAATAATCCGAAGAACGAACACTAGCTAAATCACTTATTTGTGATTATATTATAAAAAGTTAACTGATACGTAGTGCTACCTCCGTCCCTCAATTAAAATCGAGTAAAGGGTCAGTTTGGTTCTCGAAGTTGCATAAAAGGGGTCAAATACTCAAATAAGTCCTTATATAGAAGGTTCTATCCAGCTGTCGCCATTTGGGGCGGTTCCGGATGAAATTTTTTGATGAAATTTTTTGAGCATCTTATTCATTAAGTCTAGTTCACTCATACTAAATTTCAGAAAATTCAAACGGGAAGACATTTAAATGAATTCTTGAAGCTAACTGTTGGAAAAATGTGTGAAAAATTGCATTAAATGGCTATTTTGGGGCAATTTTTTGAGTGGGGTCCACTTCCGATTTGGGTCGGGTCAAAGTGGTTTCGGATTGTCCTTGTTAAGGGCTACAATTCGATATATGGTACGCTCAAAACGGATAACGGGTGAATGAGAAATTGTTTTTCGAAGTTTACCCGTTAGAATGGAAAAACTGGGAAAAAGGATGGGTTTCTAGTGTTAATTTCCCACACCGGAAAACCCAAGGGATTTGCAACCCTTTATAAAGGGACTCCCCCCTTAAGGAGTTAAGATTCCTTAGGGTAGAGGCTCTCTCCACGCGCGCAGGGGGGGGGGGGGTGCAAATCAAATCCCGAAATCGGAGAAGAAAAAACCGCGACCTGCGGACACGAATGTCGTCCAAAAATCTATCTCTCAAGAGATACGATTAATTTTTGTTTTCTTCCCGAAACGTTTAATTTTTTCCCAGCGGCAGAAGTGCTCGGATCAGAACCCCTCTCGTTGGTATTCTGATGGCAGAACCCCTCATGGGGTATTCTGATGGCCGCCCATCAGAGATGGGGTATTCTGATGGCCGCCCATCAGAGTTGGGGGTACTCTGATGGGTCGCGGATCAGAGTTGGGGTCTTCTGATTGGCCTCCGATCAGAACCCCTCCCGGGGTGTTCTGATGGAGGTCTTCTGTCGCGCTTCTGATACGTTACAACAATTTATGCCCAACGTTTATATCTTTTAATGCAGCGTTAAATGGACAGTTCATGGACGATTCAATGCCCAACGGACTGGTCATTGATGTCCAACGTTCAGGTCCATTAATTCACTATTTTCACACAACAAATCCTCCTATATAATGGCTGGCAGGTGATTTGCAACAACACAGGTTCTTACACGAGTTTATACACATCCTTCACGTATTTTAGAGCTAAAAACACCTCCAGTCCTTCTGAAAATTTCTGAGTGTTCATACTTTGTTCTCGTTCGTTGGAACTCTTGTTTGTGTGCTCAAACATTAGTTCGTTGTCATCGTATCCTGGGAAACTATTGTTGCAACGCTCCTAGCACCGTGGGAGGCAACAAATACGTTTTAAGGACATCGTGCGTAGCACGAGCTTTGACAAATTTCAGCTCCATCTCATTTCTGTTTTCTTTTGTCATTTTATTTAATTAATTTAATTTAATTAATTTTCTTTATTTTCCGAAACACTCCCAACAATCTTAAAACGTATTTGTTGTTAAGTTTGTATCATACGGATACAATCTTCAACTGTAGTTTGTCACTTCTGTGAACGAACTTAAATCTTTTTTTGTGTTTTCGGAAAAAACGTTAAGAAAACGAAAATGACTTCTCAAGAAAACGAGATTGGTGTTGGGCAGAATGTTCTGAACGATAATCACTCTGAAAGCGGAGCTCCGGTGAACAATAGTTCACAACGCGGAACATCTGCTTTGAACCAAAGGGTTATCCCTATGGTTACCGTGCCAAGCAACTCTGTGGAGAAACCCGAAAAATTTAATGGGTTAAACTTCAAGAGGTGGCAGCAAAAGATGCTCTTCTATCTCACTACTCTCGGTCTTGCACGTTTCTTGACCGAGGACGCACCGGTTGTAACCGGGGGTGAGGTGGATGCGCAATCTTTCAACGCGGTTGAAGCTTGGAAGCATTCTGACTTCCTATGCCGAAACTACGTGTTGAACGGGCTGCATGATGCTTTGTACGACGTGTATAGCAAATTAGCTACGGCTAAGGAGCTATGGAATGCTTTGGACCACAAATATAAAAGCGAGGATGCCGGCGCAAAGAAATTTGTTGTTGGTCGATTCCTTGATTTTAAAATGGTGGATTCGAAGACGGTCTTGAGTCAAGTTGAGGAGATGCAAATGATCTTCAACGAAATTCGAGATGAAGGAATGACGGTTAGTGAGTCGTTCCAAGTGGCGTCAATTATTCATTTATTGCCGCCGGCTTGGAAGGATTTCAAGAACTACCTTAAGCATAAGCGAAAGGAAATGAACTTGGAACAATTGATCCTCCGTCTGCGGATTGAAGAGGATAACCGGAAGAACGATGGGAAACTCCCAATTGTTCACGGCGCCAAGGCCAACGTGGTGGAGCATGCTAAAAGCTCCAAAAATAAAAATAATGGGAAGAGCAAGCTCGGTCCCAAGGGAGGCGTTTCCAAGACGAAGTTCAATGGAAAATGCTTCAATTGCAACAAGAATGGACACAAGTCCTCGGATTGCAAGGCACCACGGAAGAAGAAAGACTCCCAAGTCAACTTGGTGCAAGGTGGGCAAAAGGATGAAGACATCATCCTAGCGGCTGTGGTTACGGAAGTCAACCTCGTTGGATCCAATTCCAAGGAGTGGTTCGTGGACACCGGTGCAACCCGACACATTTGCTCTAACCGGGAACTATTCACAACCTTTGAGCCATCAAACGGTGAGAAGGTGTGGATGGGAAATTCTGCTCATTCCGAGGTGGAAGGCGTGGGCAAGGTGGTCCTGAAGATGACTTCGGGCAAGGAGCTGACTCTCAACAATGTGTTGTACGTCCCGGAGATACGCAAAAACCTGATCTCGGGCTCATTGTTGAACAAGCATGGCTTCCGCATGGTCTTTGAGTCGGACAAACTAGTTTTGTCCAAATCGGGAATGTATGTGGGCAAGGGGTATGCATGTGATGGGCTGTTTAAGCTCAATGTAATGACTATTATTAAAAATAATAATAAAGTCTCTTCTGCTTACTTGCTTGAGTCTTCCAATGTGTGGCATGGTAGACTAGGACATGTTAATTTTAATTCTATACGTAGATTAATTAACATGGAACACATTCCTAAATTCACAATTGATGTGAAGCACAAATGTGATATTTGTGTTGAGGCAAAACTAACGAAAACGTCTTTCAAATCGGTTGAAAGAAAAACGGAACCACTAGAATTAATTCATAGTGACGTTTGTGATTTTAAATCAATACAAACACGTGGCGGTAATAAATATTTTATTACTTTTATCGATGATAGCACTCGCTATAGCTATGTTTATTTGTTGAAAAATAAACATGAAGCAATCGATAAATTCATTCTTTATAAGAATGAAGTGGAAAACCAACTTAATCGACGGATTAAAACGGTTAGGAGTGATCGAGGTGGTGAGTATGAAGCACCAATTGGTGACTTTTGCGCTAGTGTGGGTATAGTACACGAACGTACCGCACCCTATTCACCTCAATCAAACGGTGTTGCCGAACGAAAGAATCGCACATTGAAAGATATGATGAATGCGATGCTAGTAAGTTCGGGCTTGCCACAAAACATGTGGGGCGAAGCAATCTTGACAAGCAATTACCTTTTAAATAAGGTTCCCCGGAAAAAATATGATAAAACTCCGTACGAGTTGTGGAAAGGCAGACGGCCTTCCTATCAATATTTGAAAGTGTGGGGGTGTCTTGCTAAGGTGCTTGTACCAACACCTAAGAAAATAAAAATAGGTCCAAAAACGGTGGATTGTATTTTTATTGGATATGCACAAAATAGTAGTGCTTATCGGTTTTTAGTGTACGATTCGAATAATCCGGATGTACATAAAAACACAATAATTGAGTCAAGGAATGCATCATTCTTTGAAGACGTATTTCCATGCAAGTCCAACGATGGACCTAGCACGTCAAAACGAACATTTGACGTAGCTATGGAAAATACTAGCGAGGGATCCGGTGAAGAAGCCGAACCCCGACGTAGCAAACGTGCTAGAGTGGAAAAATCCTTCGGACCGGATTTTCTCACATACTTGATAGAATTCGATTCGAATATTCTAACTTGTATGGTAGAAAATGAACCGGATTTTCTAACATGTTTGGTAGAAAATGAGCCACGGACTTATACGGAAGCCGTAACGTCTACCGAAGGACCTATGTGGAAAGAAGCCATCAAAAGTGAGGTGGATTCTATCCTAAAAAATCACACATGGGAATTGGTTGATCTCCCTCCGGGATGTAAACCTTTGGGATCCAAGTGGATTTTTAAACG